TAGCCGGGCGTGGTAGCATGCGCCTGTAGTTCCAGCTACTTGGAAGGCTGAGGCGGAAGAATCGCCGGAGCCCAGCGGGTCGAGACTGCGGTGGCCGGGAGCGTGCCACTGCACTCTAGTCTGGGCGACAGAGACTCCAACTCAAAAAAAAATAAAAAATAAAACAAAATAAAATAAAACAGCTGTAGAATCTTAGCCCTGGATCAAATTGCAAAATGAATTATCTTCCTCCAGGTTCTCATTTCTTCTTACTCTATCTTATAACATGTACCACAATGTGGTTTTTTTTGTTTTTTGTTTTTTTTTTTAGTTGGAGTCTCACTCTATCGCCCAGATTGGAGTGCAGTGGCCACTCCCGGCCACCGCAGCCTTGACCTGCTGGGCTCCGGCGATCCTTCCGTCTCAGCCTTCCAAGTAGCTGGAACTACAGGCGCATGCCACCACACCCGGCTAATAATTTTTTGATTTATTGTAGAGATGAAGTCTCGCCAAGTTACCCAGGTGGGTCTCGAACCCGCGGGCTCAGGTAATTCAATCGCCTCAGCCTCCCAAAGGCGCGGGATTATAGGGTGAGCCACCAAGCCCGGCTACAATGTGTTTTATAGTTAGAGGCATGCATCTGTTTCCCTTGCAAGGGTATGAGCCTTTGGTGACATATTCATCTTTATCATTAATGCTTCACATAGTTAGTGTATGAGGAGACTTCAAAAAGTTTGTGGAAAAATGGAATTAATCAATAAAAATAAAAAAGATAAACTTTCTTTCTCAACATAAGCTCCATCAAGGTCAAGATAGTTTTGCAAGTGATGATACTAGTCATTTATTCCATCTCTAAAGAACTGTCGGTCCTAGGAATTTAGCCATGTCAATGCAGCCTTTTTAAATCATTATTACCTGAAGAAAAAAGGGTTCCCTTTCAAGAGATTTTTCAAGATTAGGAAATAAAGTCAGCAGGACATTAAGGTGGATACCTAATGATCAGGACTGTAAGGTGGATACCTAATGATTTCTCATAGAAGCTCCTACAAAATTGCCCTGGTTTGATGAGAGGAATGAGCAGGAGCACTGTCGTGGTGGTGAAGAAATCTCTGGTGAAGCTTTCTTGGGTGTTTTTCTGCTAAAGCTTTGGCTAACTTTCTCAAAACACTCTTATAATAAACAGATGTTATTATTCTCTAGTCCTCCAGAAAGTCAACAAGCAAAACGCCTTGCGCATCCCCCCAAAATGCTGCTATGACCTTTGCTGTTGACCGGTGTGCTTTTGCTTTGACTGGACCTCTTCCACTTGGTGGCAGCCATTGCTTTGATTGTGCTTTGTTTTTAGGATTACACTGGTAAAGTCATGTTTCATGTCCTGTTAACAGTTCTTCAAAGAAGTGCTTCAGGATCTTGTTTTCACTTGTCTAAAATTTCCACTGAAAGCTGTGCTCTTGTCTACAGTTGATACGGGTGCAATGGTTTTGGCACCCATCAAGTGAAAGTTTGCTCAACCTTAATTTTTCAGTCAGAGTAGTGTAAATTGAACCAGTTGAGATGTCTATGGTGTTAGCTACTGTTCTGCTGTCAGTCTTCTTCAGTTAGGGCATAAACAAAATTAATTTTCTCCTTGAAAGCTGAGGTGGATGGTCTGTGCCTGCAGCCTTCATCTTTAACATCATCTTGTCTTGCTTGTTCTGTTGTCCAAGCAGGAATGCAGAGGTGCGATCCTAGCTCAATGCAGCCTTTAAATCCTGGGCTTAAGCCATCGTTCTGCCTCAGTCTCCTGAGTAATTAGGACTACAGGCATGTCACCTTGCATGGCTAATAAGTTTTTTTTTTTGTATAGATGGGTGCTATGCTGCCCAGGCTAGTCTCAAACTCCTGGCCTCCAGCAATCCTCTAGCCTCGGCTTCCCAACATTCTGGAATTACATGTGTGAACTACCAAGCCTAGCTCATTCCTTTTATTTAATTTATTTTTTTTGGAGTTGCAGTCTCACTCTGTCGCCCAGGCTAGAGGGCAGTGACACACTCATGGCCACCTCAGCATCAACCTGCTGGGCTCCGGCGATCCTTCTACCTCAGTCGTCCAAGTAACCGGAACTACAGGTATGTGCTACCACACCTGGCTAATTTTTTATTTATTGTAGAGATGAGGTATTGCCAAGGTGCCCGGGCTGGTCTCGAACCTGCAGGCACAGGCAATCCATTCACCTCAGCTTCCCAAAATGCTGGGATTACAGACTGAGCCACCAAGCCCAGCCTCTTCCCTTCTTAGAATGAGTTATCTATTTGTAAACTAACTTCTTTGTGGCATTATCCCCATAAACTTTTCATACATTCATCAATGATTCTTCCAGGCAAGTTTCATCATAAATTTGATGTTTGTTCTTGCTTCAATTTTAGCAAGATTCATGTGATAGAGGCTCTTTTCAAACCGATGTCTTATCCTTCTTAGTACCGCAAACTAGATTCTATTCAGATATGTTATAACAAATTAGTTCAAGTTTATTTTGGTACAAAATAAAATTAAAATCCGTATTTTTTCATAATATATATTTGCCACGCACTTTTTGAAGACCCCTCATATGATGGAAATTCAATAAATGTTGCTGAATGAATCCTAAAATAATTTAAAATTTGCTAGGCTAAAAAGTCCAAGTTGGTTAGGTGCGTTGGCTCACGCCTGTAATTCCAGCACTTTGGGAGGCCAAGGCAAGATAATTGCCTGAGCTCAGGAGTTTGAGATCTGTCTGGGCAACTTGCTGAGACCTCACCTCTACAATTAATCAAGAAAAATTAGCCAGGCATGGTGGTACATGCCTGTAGTGCCAGTTACGCGGAAGGCTGAGTGGAAGGATCACCTGAGCCTAGCAGGTTGAGGCCGCAGTGACTGTGAGTGTGCCACTGCACTCCAGCCAGGGTGACAGAGTGAGACTTTGACTCAAAACAAAACCAAAAAAGTCCAAGATAGGAAAAGTTACCTGTGAGTGTGACAAATCTCAGAGAGTACAGACCATTCAAGAATGGAGAGAATCAACAAGTGACTGAGCGTAACTAAATTAGTCAAATTCTAGACTGTTACTAGTAGGCAGTCTGGCCACGGAAATGGGGGGTAGCGGAGATGGGCATATTTCATTTTCTACTTTGTACATTTCTGATGAAATTTTTTACATTAATTGTTAAAAACTGTATATGTCCAAGCCGGGCTCGGTGGCTCAGCCTGTAATCCCACGTCTTTGGAAGGCTGAGGTGAGTGGATTGCCTGAGCCTGCGGGTTCCAGACCCGCCTGGGCGGTGAGACTTCATCTCTACAATAAATCAAAAAATCAGCTGGGTGTGGTAGTGCATGCCTGTAATTCCGGCTACTTGGAAGGCTGAGGTGGAAGGATCACTGGAGTCCAGCAGGTCGAGGCTGCGGTGGCCGGGAGCAGCCACCACACTCCAGTCTGAGCGACAGAGTAAGACTCCAACTCAAAAAAAAAAAAACAAAACCAAAAAAAACTGTGTATGTCCAATAAGGAAAAAAAAAAATTAAGGTATTTCCACTTTGGGGAAAAAAAAGTCTACTAAGGAAAATGAACGAATTATTCATTTACTTTATAATCACTGCAAGTCAGTGAATATAGGTATTGTATGGCTCAAAAACTTTTAAAGGAAGAAGCCAAAATGCTCACAAAGGGCAACTAGCATGCTAAGGAAAGGGGAGAAGAGGAGGGTGCCCACATGACTGTTGCCACAATAAGAAGGCAGTGGGGAAAAGCCTGGAGGGAGACAGAGAGGAGGAGGATGTGGCAATGGCAGCTGGCCCCTCAACTTCATGGCCCTGAACCTCTGAATACCACCACGAGGAACCCAGGGAAAAGGCACCAACTTTCACCTGATCCATATGGCATGCGTTTCCCCATATGACAGAAAGTTTTTGCTCAGTATTCTTCTCACCTATCAAAAATAGCTGTTTAAATTTTGAGTATGCCGTCTGGATTTCCTGCAGAGATAGAAAGTTGCTTGACAGGTCTTCAGTCTTAGCAATTTCATAGGGTGGCCTGTGGATGGTCTTGTAAATCCTAGACATCAATAAGCAACACAAGATTAGAAGAGCAAACACCAAGTTAAAACAGCTATGTGCCTCAATCTATGTTAAGGGCTCTGTAAGTATTCTCCCATTTAACCCTTTCCTACAAGGTAACTGCTTTAAGACTCTTGTTCCCAGTCAATGTATTTGGAAATGAATGTAAGTGGAATAGAACTATCTGGCTTAAGATGATCAAGTTTATGAACTGATAGAGCCATGATTTGGACCAAGGTGACTAAACTCCAAGTCTATTCCTTTTTTTGTTTTTTAAATTAATTCCCTTTGGGGTTTTGTTTTATTTTGAAAAATGCAGGCCACGCACAGTAACTCAACGCCTATAATCCCATCACTTTGGGAGGTGGAGGTGAGAGGACTGCCTGAGCCCACGGGTTGGAGACCAGCCTGGGCAGCATGGTAAAATCTCATCTTTACAATAAATCAAAAAGTAAGCTGGGCATGGTAGCACATGACTGTAGTTCTAGCTACTTGGAAGGCTGAAGTGAAAGGATCACATAAGCCCAGCAGGTCGAGGTTGCAGTGGCCATGAGCATGCCACTGCACTCCAGCCTGGGCAACAGAGTAGGAGCAACAGAGTAAGACTCCAACTCAAAATAAATAAATAAATAAAAATAATAAAAATGCAGAAAAGTAGAAAAGGGTAGTATGGTGACATATACCATATACCACCTAGATCTGACAGCCCTTAACATTAAAGACATCATGCTACCTCTCCTGTAAATACTTCACTATACATCTCTAAAAATAATGCAGTTGACATTCTTAATGATTATGTTACACTGATTCTTTTTTTTTCTTTTTTGTGGAGATGAGGTGTTGCTATGTTGTCCAGGCTAGTCTCAAACTCCTGGGCTCAAGCAATCCTCCCACCTCAGCCTCCCAAAGTGCTGGAATTATAGGTATGAGCCACCATGTCCGGTCAAACAGACTCCTTTCAAAGTAACTAAAAATGACCACTGTTAAGTTGTATTCCCACAGCACTAAGCAACCAGCAGGTAAACAGAAATGAACATACTACTATGAGCTGTTTCCTCTTTCTGGAAAACAAGAAATGAACTAAACAAGAACAAAATGTAGAACAAATACTGACCCATCCAAGAAGCTCTTCTGGATTTGTAAAATGCCATCATCCTGTTCTTTGGGCAGTGCTGACATTTTCAAAAGGGCACTTCCATTGTGGCAGGACCAACACCATATCTATAGAGGGGAATAAAGATTTGCCCAATATAACATACAACCAAAAGAGGATATGTAAGTTTAGCATTTACATTCTTACAGGGAAATTTAGAACTTCAATATGGAACAGCTGGATATATTCAACTTTATTAAGCCAGAGTGTATTTATTCACAATGAAAAATAATGATTCAGTCTTAATAAAACCAACAGGTCTAGGTAGTCACACTCAGTCTTTCGTAAGGTCTAACATATACCTTTTGACTTGGATTTGGTACTGGTAGCCTAGATGATAATATTATTATTAGTAGTAGGATAGCAGCTATCATTGAAGTACAGTTGATTACATGTCAGGTATTTTAGGTGACTTAATTCATTTAATTGTCCTGGTTACTCCCTGTGATAGGTATGATTAATATCCTCACTAATGGCAAGGAACTGAGGCTTGGAGAGATTGAAGGAATGCCCCAAATTGTACAGAATGCATCAGTCTGGCTTGCAAATATAACATAAGGTAGAATGTGGTATACAACAGAAGAACGTTTCAAGGAACAGAAGGCAGGCAAAGGAGAAAGAAACCATATGAGAAACCCTAAGTGACAGGCTAAGGTGTTTGGGCTGTTTTCTGGATACAGTTGGGGTTTTTGTTTCGCAGGAACAAAAGATTAGAATTGATCTTGCGGCAAAGCAGCTGCCTGTGGAGCCTAGAAAGGAGAAAATGGAGGGACTAGTTGGGTAAGTGAGTATAGCTGTGGGCTGTGAACTTTAGGCCCTTCAAAAAGGCCTGGCTAGGTATTTTAGAGTGGCTATGGTCCAGCCCTTGCTCCACTAACCAAGCCATCAGCTTGGGCTCAAAGGTAACCTGGAGGAAAGGAATGCCTTATGTAACTCAGCTGCCCAGAAGGGCCATCTGCCATGTGTAAGCCATACACAGGATATGCCAGCAGTAGCCTAGGCCAAGAGTGAGAGATCAGCACAGTGATCACGGTAATAATCTGTATTACTGGTTTGGGGCTTCTGGGAAAGATAGAACTGGCATTGAGTATAAGGGTTTCTAGTGCCAAAAGAACATCCATGAGGGGGTATTCGGGAGGCCCCTAAATGAGGGTTATGAGCTTCGGAGAAGGCAGGACTGGAGTTCTGGATGCAGATGCTGCTGGCCTGCTGAAGTGAAGAAGATGAGCCCGCCCAGAGAGTGAGGACAGAGTGATACAGAACTGCTTTAGGAACTGCCAAAAAGAGCAACAACTCCTCTCTTGAGGCCAAGATGCACTTAAAGATCAATGGTGAGGTAGAGGTGTTAGAACACTGAGACAAATTAAAGGACCCTTTCCTGTTTTTGTATTTCCTTTTCTTTTTTTTTGAGTTGGAGTCTCACTCTGTCGCCCAGACTGGAGTGCAG